AAGTTGCACACTCCTTACAACCTTTGCCCAGGGAAAGAAAGCCTATCTCCCTGCAACAAGTTAATTTAACCACAGACAGAGACTTGCATTTATCAGGGTATTCAGTAGATAGTTCTCAAAATCAATGTAACACCAACAGGAACATGGAGACAATGACTTCAAAGGGGATCTCCACTTTTGTATAAGACAATTAGAACAGCATTTTTAGTGATAAGACCTCAGTTCATGAGATAGCCACTGTTTGCTGAAACAGAGGAAAAAACTGGGATGGAGATAGCTTCTCTTTGAACAAAACCATGTATTTGTTTTGCATCAATTTCTTTCCATTGTCAGCAAAAGCTTTGGTTACACTTTATTTAGTCGAGGAGCAGTCCTTACAGAACAAGGGTCAATCCCAGGAAAAGGGAATAATAAAACAACAGATTTGGAATAGGTTAGTTAAGGGGCATCTAGTTCAACCCCAGTTAATGCACAATCTGAAGGCCAGCCAGCCTCTACTGAAAATATCTCTAGCAAAGGACAATTTACAATTTTCTAAGATAATCTGTTCCATTTCAAAACAGTATCTATTATCAGGAATTTTCCCCACAATGTTTTCTCTAAATCTTTTCCCCCCTAACAATTTAAATCTTGTGGTTTAATTGTATTTGCTGGAGAACAAATGTATCCCATCTTATCTGTGACCCTTTCAATCACAATTTGGAGCTTCCAACAGGTAGATTGGAAGCAAAATTATCTAGATGGTTTGGAAAGCCTGATCTCAGGAAGGGGTGTTCCAGGATTTCAGCAATACACAAATTAAATGATGTATGGTAAGGCAAAGCAAACCATCCAGTTAGATAACAGATTAGAATTCCTTTGACCAGGGTTATTTCAGAAGAAAAGCAAACAAGGGCTGTAAAACTCATGTTTTGCAAGTAATGCAACTAATTCCATCCTGTCAGTTATTTTAGGTGTCTATTCCATCTTTATCATTATGTCCAAGTGGGATCTCAGACTTTTAACTCCCACAGATTACAATCAAGACTGCGGAATGACCTGCTGGAAGAGTTCTGACAGCTAAATCAACTATCAGAATTGAAGTCACAACTGAAGACCTTTCTCTTCCGGAAGGCCTACCCAGTCAATTTTAAACTGAATTTTAACCTGCATTTTATTGGTGATGGTGTCTGTTCTTGTTGTGTGTACAGGCAGGACCCAAGTTACAAACAAGCTAGGTTCTGTAGGCTTCTTCTTAAGTTGCATTTGTATGTAAGTTGGAGCAAGTATGGTAAATTTTTAAAGTGCAACTCCAGTCAAAATATATGTTTTCAGTTTTGGATAGCATAGGGAAAGGTTAAGACCCCTGTGGCTTTTGTTTTGTTGTCTGTGCCCGTTCAGAAGATTTCACTTCACTTCCTGTCCCTGTGACAACTGGATTTTGAAAATGTTGGGTTGTAACAGAAACAAGGACTAGTGAGGATACTTTTCCCTCATGTTAACTCTCACAGGAGTGAATTTCCCTTCCTAGAGGTAGATTTCTTCTCATTTACTGTTGTTCAGCCCTGTTTGTAACCATGAGTTGTTTGTAAATCAGACATTGTAACTTGGGGGCTGCCTGTATATGTATATGTATTTTAATAATGTTTTATCTGTCCGTTTTAACCATGTTGTACCCCACCTCAAGCTGTAAGGAGAAGCGGGTAACAGATAAAATCATCACCATCATCATCAACATCTAATCCAATGGTTCTCAACTGTTTTTTGACCAGGGACCACTTTGGCCAGAGACCATTTGACTAGGAATCATTTGGCCAGGGACCGCTTTGACCAGGGACCATTCTCCAACATTAGTACCAAAAGAGTTAAAAATCTGTTTTTGGTCAACTTTAGATTTGGTTTGGTTATTTGGGGGGCTGATTCAGAAAAGTGCATTGGATAGACCACATCAGCTCTAGTTTCTGATGCAGAACATATGCCATCCAGTAGTCGCCACTTGCTCCTCCACAGAAAACTGTATTTAATAAACTAGAGCTGATGTGATAGTAGTAATCTTTTGTGGGTAGTCAGCCTCTCCCCTTTCAAAATCCCCGTTGCCTCAGCACTATAAGAGCGTTTTGCGAGACCAATCGCACTTGTTCCCACGTGGTTTCGAGGCAATGCTGTAGTAATGGTAAAGTCGCAAACCATGTTCTCACCTCACCTCTGAGGAAGCTTGCCATAGATGCAGGCGAAACGTCAGGAGAAATGCCTCTAGAACATGGCCATATAGCCCGAAAAAACCCACAAGAACTGCATGTTTTCATTCTTGGGGACTACTGGTGGTCCACAAGCCACAGGTTGGGAACTACTGATCTAATCAATTTATAATAATAAACTAAACTAATTGTTGCACTTCTTTTAGAGTTGCATCATCATCAAGAAGTGCAGCAATGTAGTGCTTTACATTTACTCCTGTTGAAATTCATTTTGTTAGCTTTGTTACAGCTCTTCAATTTGTCAAGCTAATTCTAGATTCTGATTCTTTCAAAAAGTTTATCCAAAGTATGAAGATGCAATGTTCTAGAAATACTCAGATTGCTTAATTAACAAAGAGACACCCTGTTAATCTCTTTGTGACATCACAGCAAACTAAACAATGCCATCAAGAGAAGCAGTTTGGATGGACAGACATGACTACAGATTAAAAGAATAATCATGGCCCAACTCTGATAAGGATTTTTGGATGACAAGAGTTATCAACACGTCTTTTGTTAATGATTCCAAATATGCTTTAAAAACCCACCTTTGATCTGTGGAGATGTCTTCTCTTTGCAACTTGCAGCTCTTCCAGCTTTGCACTTCTCTAACCTCCAGGTTGGAGCTCTGCTGTATGGAGAATTAAGACGTGCTCCTTGAGCCAGAGCTATATTTTGTAGTTCTTTTCCTCCCAGCTCCAAAGTGATATAACCCCTTCCAGAGTGGTTTTCTCCATTAGTCTGCGACAAAGCCATGGAACTGGAACAGATGACAGCCATTTTTATTTATTAATAAGTAAAAGTACTGTATATTCCGGGGTACTAAACAACTTTTTAGGCATGTAAAACCTTATAAAATTTTGGGGGTCATCTAGTACACCGGGTATAAAAATAAAATAATAATAAAATAACATTCTATGGCTGCCTTGGCTCCCCTCCTCCTCCTCCTCCTCCGCCTTGGCTCATGGCGGCCTCCCAGGCAGGCTCCCTGTCCTTCCTCCCTTCCTGGCTGGCTTCCTTGCTCAGGCCCAGACCTCTCTTTTGTTGGCGGCCAGGCCCCTGGGCTGCTTCCCGCGCTGCTCAGGCCACTCTCCTTTCTGTCCAGGCCTCGCGAGAAGTGCCTCTTCTCCCGCGAGACAACATTGTCTCACGTGAGAAGAGGCGCTTCACGCGAGGCCTGGACAGGAAGAGAGAGAGCGGCCTGAGGAGTGCCGGAGGCCCTTCTGATCAGGCCGCTCTCCTTCTTCCTGCCCAGGCCTCGCGAGAAGTGCCTCTTCACCCGCAAGACAATATTGTCTCGCGGGAGAAGAGGCATTTCTCATGAGGCCTGGGCAGGAAGAAGGAGAGCGACCTGAGGAGCGCCGGAGGCCCTTCTGATCAGGTCACTCTCCTTCTTCCTGTCCAGGCCTCGCAAGAAGCGCCTGGTTTGGGGAGTCGTCTTAAATGGCAAGTATATCCCCAACTCTCTATTTTGTTTGTTAAAGTTGGGCGGTCATCTTATAGCCCCAGTCGTGTTGTACCCTGGAATATACGGTATATTCAAATATAGAATATAAGAAAATTAACAAATAAAACAAATCAATTGTTGAAAGAGGTGATTCCAACATGGTACATAAAATGGTATGTATTATGGTACCTATTTGAATGTATGTCTCCCTATGAACTTGCTAGAGTGTTAAGATTTTCTGGGGAGGCTCTACTCTCAGTCCCACCCCGTCGGAGACGCGATTGGTGGGAATGAAAGACATGGCCTTTTCAGTGGTGTCCCCTCGGCTATGGAACTCCCTCCCCAGTGAGATCAGATTGGCCCCCTCCCTCCTGGTCTTTAGAAAAGGGGTGAAAATTTGATTATGCAATCAGGCATTTGGGTAGTGCAATATGGTTCCGGCATAATGTAGCAATGTAGAATGACGCCAGGACTAGGTACTATGTTTTAAAGTTTTAATGATATTTATATGTTTTATTTTTTTATTGCTTATATATTGTATTGTCTGTATATTGTTGAATTGCGGCAATAAATTCTGCCAAATTATGTAAGCTGCTCTGAGTCCCCTTCGGTGTGAGAAAAGGGGAATATAAATAAATACATAAATAAACAGTTGCTTTTCTGCTTCTAGGTGCTTGGTAGGTTTGCTAACAATGGCCCCAAAATAAAAAGTCATGTGGCCAGAAGTTCACTTCTGCTTGTGAAAAACAACTATTATTTGATGCAAAATTCTGCAACAGTTAACAGAGCTCTTGCAAACCACTTAAATGAGGGGAATTTCCAATCTTGGAATGATGCAATTATTAACAGGGCCCTTATAGCCTATTTAAAAGGGGAATTCCCATTTTATTAGGAGAGGATTAGAAAAGTGTCAATGTAGGGAGTCTGAAGCAGTCTGGGGATGTGGTAATTTGTCCACTCCTGGCCTAAGTAAGCAAAACCTTTTAGGCAAAACCCTAGAAAGCATATATTCACCCTGTAAGTGCTAATCCAGTATTACCAGCAGAAACAGATAAGATTTATGACTGCATATGTACGGTATGTGTGTGTGGGCCTTCAAGTCACCTGTCACGTTATGCAACCCCATGGATTTCATAGGCAAGATATACGCGGAGGTGGTTTTGCCAGTTCTTTCCTCTAAAATATAGCCTAAAGCATCTGCTGTTCGTTGAAGGTCTGCTGTCCAAGTACTAATCAGAGCTGACTCTGCTGATCTTCCAAGAGAGAATAGGTATCTTTAGAGTATTTAAACCTGTCTGCATATGACAGGAAGAAAATAAATTCATATGAAATATGATGGTGGACACCATGGACTGCTTAAAAATAATAAATGGATAGGAGAGCAGGACGCATGTGTTTTTAAAGATATGTGTGTGTGCATGTCTGCAGAAAAGACTCCATTTTAAATGTCTTAACTTTACTAGTAATGTTACTTTTAAGACAGTATTCATCACCTGCAGTTTTAAGCTCTTGCATTAAAAATATGTGTGTATAAAGAATCTGATGCCTATAAATCAGAGTCAATTTTTACTTGAATTAAGACTGCTTAACTGATTTATTGATTAAAGTTGTTAATTAAATTTATAGTTTTACGGAAAAATTACAGTACAGTTCACAAAGATAAATAATAATACAATTCCTGTCCTAAGGCTTATAATATAAAGCTTGTTTCTTGCAGATGAAAGTAGAACAAGCATTAAATTAAAAATTACTACTATTCTATATTCACCCCTCCTGCCCCCAAAGCACTCATCCTCACTACTGAAAACAGAGGAAAATGTTACATTACATTATTTCCATACTATTTGAAAGACAAGAACAGACTGTTAATAAAATCTGAAGCAAGCTTCACTGAGGTTAATGAGACTTACTCTTCAGTGAATGCGTACAGAACTTCAGCCTGAAAAATCTACAAGAAAAAGTGCTAATCACAAACACAAAATTTTCCTACCTTGGATGTCTCTCCACATGTATTAGAGAAGCTGTAAGTAAAAGAGAAAGAAGTATTACATACCATACATAAAAAGGTAAAGGTTTCCCCTTAACATTAAGTCTAGTCGTGTCCAACTCTGGGGGGTGGTGCTCATCTCCATTTCTAAACTGAAGAGCTGGCATTGTCCATAGACACCTCCAAGGTCATGTGTCATGACTGCATGGAGCACTGTTACCTTCCTGCTGGTGCGGTACCTGTTGATCTGACATTTGTATGTTTTCGAACTGCTATGTCAACAGAAGCTGAGGCTAACACCATGAGTTCCCCACCCCCACCCCCACCCCCCTCCCCAGATTTGAACCGCTGACCTTTTGGTCAGAAGTTCAGCAGTGTCGCAACTCAGGGTAGTTTTCACCTTGCTCAAGACACCAGCACACACCAAGGCTGTAGTTTTGTAGTTTATTGAGAAAAAGCAAAATCAAAACAGAGAAATAAAGATGCAAAAGTTCAATAGGCAAAACAGAGTCTTAAATGCAAAGGCAAGGTTCCCAAGATCCACAGGAAAATAACATGAAGTATAATCCCTTAGCAATGGTCAAACAAGAGTCCATGGCAAAAAAGGTAAAATCAGGATCAGAATCCCAGTCTCCAAGAAGCCAGAAGCGTTCCGCAAAAGCCAAGGCAATTCCACAGAAGTTAACGGGTAAGAAGTTACATTGGACTGACAAGAAATGCCTGTCAGCTACACCATTAAATAAGCTTCCCAGACATGAAAGCATTGCGTTGACCTTTGGCTTCCCTCTTGCTAGCAAGGCGTGTGCTTCTGCGAACCCTTAATTGCAAACGGTCCTGTCTGCTCATTAATTCACCATTATCTTCAAGGCTATATAACTCCTTGTCTCTGTCCAGCTGGGCCAGATCACTCTGGGAACCGAAAGGAGTCTCCACCTGCACTTGTGGGATTTCACTGTCTCTAAGGCACTTTCCTTTCCCTGGGGAACAGGCTTGCTGTTTCTTCTTCAGAAGGCACAATATCAGCCCCGTCTGGAGCATGTACAGGAATCTGCAACCCATCAACCTCCTTGTCATCCTGCAGAAAGTCAGGCTCAGGCTCAGAAGGCCCAGGCCCAGAAGGCCCAAACAGTTCAGTTTCAGACTCAGAATCAGACTAAGCCACAACAAGCAGCTCAGTGGTTTAGCCCACTGCGCCACCAGGGGTACATACATAATACTGGAAATATTGTGTTTACAAGTTGTAGTCTTCCCATAATAAATTTTAATTTCTCTGAAATGTTTGCTATCAACTCTGATCACTAGGACTTGGTGTACTACTGAAATATAAAACTCCCATTTTACAGCTTCCACACACTGCTCTTAAGTTCTAATACAAAATCTCTTACAATAAATTCAGACATTCTAGATTGTAAAAGAACACTTTCAGTTTCTACACATTGGACATATATGTGATTTTCTACAATGCAAAAGAATGGCAGAGTCAGTGTGGTATAGTAGTGTGAATGTTGGATTATGACTCTGGATACCATGGTTCAAAACCCCACTCAGTCATGAAAACCCACTGGGTGACCTTAGGCACTCAGTCCCTTCTGAACAAATCTTGCTAACAAAATTCCATGATAGGTTCACCCTAGGGTCAACATAAACTGCAAATGACTTGAGGGCACAACAACAAAGGAGTAGCCCTGGCTGAGCTTGTAAATTCTTCTCCAAATAAAGAGGGAAAAAGTTAGCAATTGATGAACTGGTCCACAATACAGTGTGTACTTTTGAGCAGGGCTTTTAAAAATGTGGTTCCTGACCCCAAATGGGGTCCCCTTTACTCAAAGTTGAGGTCACACCAATTGGAAAGCAGTAAAAGTTTTCTGAATATTATTCAGTGGCTGTTTCAGGCATTTACACGAATCTATTGTGGAGTGTTTATAGAGTTAAGTCTGCAGAAGATGCTTCAGGAAATAGGAAAATCGGCTGACAAAGCACAGCACTGACAAAGCTGTTTAGCAAGCTTTGTCAGTGCTGGTTCGTAATCAGTAAACGTTTGATTTTATACCTATTTTATAGACCTATACCTGGAGAGTCACATTAAAATTTCTCAGGTGGAAAAGGGTTGCAAGTTTAAAAAGTTAAAGAAGCTCTGCTTTGGAGGATGCTGTGATCTGTAAAATCATCTAGTTTTAATCCTGGATAATGCACCAGCTGACATCCATCGGGAAGTAGCAGCCTGTAATGAAAGGACCAAGGCATTGACATCTCCGGCTCATCCTCTGTTCGGATATCAGCCAGCATGCCAATGCCTTAAATCAAGAAATAGCTTTCTAAGATCTACAGAGATACTCACAGGAACACCTTAGCAAGCGAGAGCCCAAAAGTGGCAGGCTAAAACCACAATCCATGCCTGATGCCAGATGAGAAATTTCCCCCTGGGCACACAGAAAACTGGGTGACTTGGAAAGTGCTGAACAGACTGCTCTGGCACTACAAGATGCAGAGCCAACCTTAAGAAAGTGGAGTCCACGACATGCGAGTATGGAGAAGACCACCTATTACAATGCAGTCTGAGCCCTGCCACATGCACAATGGAGGACCTTCTCACAGCAACATCAAAGGCACTCAAAGTGGCCAGCTTCTGATCAAAAGAAATTTAGTATAATTCCAAGTTTTTAACTTTGTGGTTTTTCTATACATTGTAACTGTATTTTCAATTTGCTTCTGACACGATAAATAAATAAATCCTGGATAATACAATGAAATTGCAATTGTGTTCAGACAGCTGAACCTGAAAAAACCTCAGGTAAATTACATAGCTAGGAAAAGTTACATTTTTGTACTACAACTGTCAAAATCTGCCCACCAATATGATCAATGCCAGTTCTGAGGATTATCATTTGGAGCAGGCTGGTCTAGTCTCCTATTGCTTGTTTTTGAAGAAAGATATTATGTATTCAGCCTGCTGGCTGTAGGCCAACCTGCCTAATATGGAAAACCCCTGTTGTTCTCACCGTCAGATTATGGCCAGACTGAGGTGACTCAGTGCTGAAGGGGCGGAGTCTGCATGTCACCAGATGTCTTTGGACTCAGTTCAAAAAGAGGCCTCTTATTCTGCACGTCTTTCATTCCAGTAGGCCAGTGGTTCTCAACCTGGGGTCCCCAGATGTTTTTGGCCTCCAACTCCCAGAAATCCCAGCCAGTTTACTAGCTGTTAGGATTCCTGGGAGTTGAAGGCCAAAAACATCTGGGGACCCCAGGTTGAGAACCACTGCAGTAGGCATTTAAGTACTTAGTTAATTTGATGTGCTTTTTCTTGGTCATGGGAGTTCTGTGTGCAAAGTTTGGTTCAATTACATCATTGGTGGAGTTCAGAATGCCCTTTGATTGTAGGCAAACTATAAATCCCAGCAACTACAACTCCCATATGACAAAATAATTTCCCCCCAACCCCACCAGTATTCAAATTTGGGCATTTGGAGATATCTGTGACCAAGAAAACCTCCTTAAAGGTCATAGAATCATAGAGTTGGAAGAGACCTTGTGGGCTATCCAGTCCAACCCCCTGCCAAGAAGCAGGAAAGTCATGTTCAAAGCACCCCCAACCTCTGTTTAATAGCCTCCATAAGAGGAGCCTCCACCATGCTTCGGGGTAGAGAGTTCCTCTACTGAACAGCTCTCACAGTCAGAAAGTTCTTCCTAATGTTCAGGTGAATTACTTTAGTGATGCCTCTTTTATTGTTTCAAAGGTACAGTGATGGCCACATTCAATACTAAATTTAGATCCTACAATGGAAACATATGGCTGCCTGGGAGTACTAAAAATGGGTGAGCTGACATTTCCCTGCATGGATTTATCATTGAATCTAAGGCTGCCGCTTAACTCTTTGAACCGTTTGGCCTTAAGACTTTTGTGATTCCATTTTTGCAGAAACTTCAGTATGTAACTAACTTGAAACTGATCTCTATACCAGTCCTTGTAAATCAGTGGTTCCCAACCTTTTTTGACCCCTTTGACCAGAGATCACTCTCAAACATTAATACCAAAAGGGTTAGAAATCAGTTTTTGATCAACTTTCGATTTGGTTTGATTATTTGGGGTGCTGATTCAGAAAATTGGATTGGATAGACCGCATCAGCTCAAGTTTCCGATACAGAACATATGCCACTCAGTAGTCACCATCTGCTCGCCCACAAAAAACCATATTTAATAAGCCTCGGAACTATAAGAGACCAATGTATTGTCGAAGGCTTTCAGAAACCAGCCGCTCTCATTGCAATGGTGTAGTAACAGTGAGGCCTTGGACCATATTTTAGTTTTTGTGGACTACTATAAATCATCCAAGTCAAGTTACATATTCCCTGTTTTGATTTCTTTCCTGATGCTAGTATTGTGGTAGCTGTTTCTTCCTCTATTCACTGACAGCTTGTTCATCTTCCCTGAGATGCCAATCATTTCCTGAGGCTCCAAGGTTATTTGCTGTGCCCGCTCTCCCTGCCTAATCGCTGAATGTGAACCAGCTCTGCTCCCTGCCTTAGAACATACAAACCCAGTTCAGTGACCTGAAGCAACACTGTGAGTTTTTTCAGTTGACTCACCCTGAGAAACCAGTTCTATACATTTCAATAACCCTAGGTAATTTTTAATCAGTTCCTTTACCTTTTTAATTGCCCTTTCATCTTGTGGTCAATCTTTTCCTCAAGATTCTTTAGCTGTGACTGAGGCGGTCCTAAAAGTCCCTCAGAATTCCTTTCATTAATTGAAATATTCCTTTTAACTTCGTGTTCTCAGTTATTTCAGAGACTTGGTGGGCAGCAATAATCTGAACAGGGCTATTTTTTTTAAATGCCATGACCCCCATTTTACTGAATTATAGTCAGAGGGACAGAAAACGTATAGGGCTTGAGTCTTCTTTTTCTCTGAAGGAAAAACTGTCTTACTTTCTCATTGTCCTCATCTATTGCCTTTCTCTTTTTCTGAACAACTTCTATTCTTTATTACCTCTGTTAGCCATTCAAAGTGTTAGTGAAAGGAGAACCTGCCTGGCTGGCAAGGCAGAAAAAAATATAAACAGGGTGACTCAACAGAAAAAGTAGAAAAGAACTTTGGTCTTTAGAAATCTTGTATGGTCAGGATTTCTAAAGGAGTGGATTACTCCTTCATTCCACCAGCAAAATACTGTTTTAGAGGGCCTTGGACAAATCCTGACCTGACTCATTTTCTTATTGCAGATATGATTTCAGAACAAGTAACAATGGTAGTGTATGTGTGGTAACTTCAAGATGGTCTTCCGCAATATGCTTTACATTGGGTTAGGTAAAGGTAAAGGTTTTCCCCTGACATGAAGTCCAGCCGTGTCCAATTCTGGGGGTTGGTGCTTATCTCCATTTCTAAGCCGAAGAGCAGGCATTGTCCTTAGACACCTCCAAGGACATATGGCCAGCATGACTGTATGGAGCGCTGTTACCTTCCCACAGAAGCGGTTCCTATTGATCTACTCACATTTGCATGTTTTCAAACTGCTAAGTTGGCAGAAGCTGGGGCTAACAGCAAGAGCTCACCCCACTCCCTGGATTTGAACCAGTGACCTTTCAGTCAGTGAGTTCAGCAGCTCAGTGGTTTAAACCACTGAACCACCAGGGACTCCTTACATTGGGCTGCCTTTGTACCAAGTTTGTAAATTCCAATTAGTTCAAAACACAGCAGCCAGACTGGTTACGGGGACAGCCAAGAGTGAGCATATTACACCCATATTTAAGCCACTCCATTGGTTGCCAATTTGTTTCTGGGAAAAGTACAAAGTGCTGATTTTGACCTCTAACACCCTATATGTTTTAGGTCCAAGTTAACTGCAGGATCATCCCATATAATTCACCCTGGACACTTCTGGGGGACGCTTACTTCAACCAGTCAAAATCCAACTGCCGACTGTCACTCAGAGGATGTTTGCATCAGCTACCCCATGACTGTGGAATGACTTGCTAGAAGAGAGGCGACAGCTAAATGAGCTGTCGGAATTTAAAACACAACCAACGACCTATCTCTTTTGGCTGGTCTACCCAGTCAATTTTAATTACTAATTTTAAACTCACATCTTGTGTTTATTACATTTTAATCTTTGCTCTGTGTATTTTAATATTTGTATTTCATAGAAATGTGTTTTATATATTTATATAATCTTCTAGGATTATGTGTTTTTAGCTATGCTGTGCCTGATTTGAGCCACAAGGAGAGCTGGCTACGAAACGAAACAACAATGGCCGGAATAACTGGGTTGCTGTAGGTTTTTCGGGCTGTATGACCATGTTATAGAACAACAACCCAGAAACAACAACAACAGGAACAAATAGCTTGGTAGTCTCTAATGTCTTACAAACAAGTTTTTGGGGCATTGACTTTTTGCTAGTATGAAATCTCCATTCAGTCAACCCAGTTATATGTTCCCTTGTAGAAGAAAATAAAGGTAAAACACAACACTAATCCTGTATGTTCTCTATTTGCCACCCCTCTCAATATTCAGATACTTACTTCTACGCTGGATCTTTGCTTCTTTTGTCATATTTTCCACCCGAGGAAGCCGGCAACCAGAAAATGCCCCATTTCTTCTTGGTGTGTTGCACATTTGGTTAAGGATGGCAGGAGGCAGGAAAACTCTCTGGGAGATCATGTTCTTCAAAGGTTGCCCTAGGTCCCAGCCAATATCTATTTGCAACAAATATCAGACCCTTTTACATAGAATGTTACACTTGATCATCTTGTTATAAAAACAAGGACTGGAAAAAAATGAAATGTTATCCTTACTCCTACACTTAAGATTAGTACCTGGATTAGCTGATTAGCTCTCTTTCCAGGCCACAAAACACCAGACATGTTTACATTTGAAAAGAGTTAAATGAATTGAGGTGTATACATAAGAAATGAAAGATAAGTTCAAAACAAAAAGATATATATCTATATCTATATATCTATCTATATCTACCGTATATTCCGGCATATAAGACGACTGGACGTATAAGACGACCCCCAACTTTTCCAGTTAAAATATAGAGTTAAGACAACTCCCATGCATAAGACTACACCCGCGTATAAGACGACCCCTGACTTTTGAGAAGATTTGCTTGGGTTAAAAAGTAGTCTTATACGCCAGAATATACTGTATATATCTATATCTATATCCCACATTTAAAATTCTAGTCAATTGCAGCGACCATAATTCTGGAATTTACAATCTTGATTACTATGATACCTGTTTTTTATGCTTTTTAGATGACATTCTTTGTAAAAAAAATAGATTCTATACATTTCAATTTTTAATTGCACTGTCTATAAATGAACAGTTATAATCTACTTAGATAATGATATGAATAATAGGTATTATTTACTTACTTAATTCTTGGTCAGGAAAATAATGGCTGAGATATTGGATTGTGTATTTTGTTGATTCATCTGGCATAGAATCTGAAAGATGGAAAGTAACATGAAAGAAACAAGAAGACAACTGATTCACTGAGTGAATTGTTCCATGAAAGGATAATAATCAAATCTCGAATTGGAATTACATTATCTATTAACAAGAAAGTATCTCTAGACTGAGGGTTAAGGAATAAACATATTGATTCGGGCACAAGCTTTTGTGGACTATTGTTCAGTTCTTAATCTCTTCTGGATGGCTTCTATGTCTTTTAAAGGCTGACGTATCTGTTTTGCACCTGTCTTACATTGGCAGGCTCTGTGGTGCAGTAATGTGACTAAAATCTTTGGCAGTATAAAGATGTAACAGATAGTCTGTTGAACAGTTGATGCTTATTCTCTTATGACTTTTTAGGAGAGTCTGCAAAAGGACTTTGGGTCCCTTTGTGTAACTTTGATTGTAGTAGATTTTTCTGAACTTACTGTGAACTGTACCCCACTCTTGCTACAGCTACCATGCCCTGAAATATATTTAGTTTTAAAACATGTCACTCGGGTTATTAATAGAATGTAGAAAAGAGGAAATTTATATAAGAGATGAGGAAAAGGGAGGAGATTTGCTAATCTCTGACAAGATACTGGGAATGCAATGGTCTATCTATCTTCTATGTATATAACCAAAGTGAAAACATGCATGTATGTAGACTAGATACTTTTGTATTTTTCAGGATGGCTCCCACATCAATAATAATAATAATAATAATAATAATAATAATAATAATATTCTCAGTGGTGGCCCCTCAGCTATGGAACTCCCTCCCTAGGGATATTAGATTGGCCTCATCACTTCTGACCTTCCAGAAAAAAGAAAAAAAAAACTGGCTCTTTGAACAGGGTTTTGGAATTGCAGGGAAATAAACTAATATGGAATTATGTAAGTTTGAAACACAGAACGGCTTAGACGATGCTACTGGAAAATGTGATTAAGAGGAAGACACTGGATATTTTTATGTTTTTAATAGCTTTGCATACATTTTATAATGTTGTTTTAAATGGGTTGTTGTAGGTTTTTTGGGCTATATGGCCATGTTCTAGAGCCATTCTCTCCTGACATTTCAGAATATTTTTAATTGTTTTTAATTGTACACTGTGATTGTTATGGCATCGAATTGCTGCCAACTTGTAAGCTGCCTTTAATCGCCTCCGGGCTGAGAAAGGTGTGATAGAAATATTGCAAATAAATAAATAAATATTATTATTTATACCCCGTTTTATCTCCCCAGAAAGGGACTCAAAGTGGCTGTGACCCCCCTCCCTCCTAAACGGTGGATCTGGAGCAAATGTGGTACACACACATGCCCACCATGATCAACTTTAAATACTTATGAGATTTTGGGGGAACTGACCCAGGATAATGGGAGTTGTAGTTCACCTGTATTCAGAGAGCACTGAGATCCCCACTGACAGTGGATCTGGACCACACTTGGTAGATAATTCCCATCATCCTGGGTAATTTCCCCCAAACCCCATAAGTATTTAAAGGTGGTGGAATTTTGTTGGGGGAGAGGGGGGTTGACCCAAGATGATGAGATTTGTAGTTCATCCACATCCTTATGCACTTTCTAATGGGACCATTCATAAAATCCAAAAACAAACAATGACTATTTCGGATAAATAGTGTCACAAAAGACATAATCCATTAATTGCTGGGTAGAATAGGTTTCTACAATCACTTACGGACCCACTGTCAAGACTCTAATCATGAAAGACAATCACACTCAGTGATTGCCTATGATGTTGATTGCCAGGTACCTAACCAAGTACAATAAAAATGTGAATACTTTAAGAAGTAGTATTCACATGCTGACAAAAATATTTTGTTCAAGTTCTTACCTGCTTGTGGGGTGAAAGTCATTTGGGGTGGTTGATCTTTTACAATGTAGCTAGCTTCTTTCCAGAGTTCATGAAAACCTGCTAAGGTTTTTGACTGTAAAAGAAAACAGAAGGAAACACATTGTTATTATTAACCTTTACCCTGCCAAACCTTGCAAGGCTTGCAGAGACTGTGAATGCAAGATGAGGCTTATAATTGCCTATTAAAAATGGCACAAGGCATTGGCAAGCTCTATCCATTTCTTGGACAGCAAGAAGATCCAACCAGTCCATACTTCAAGAAATAAAGTCTGATTGTTCATTGGAGGGAAGAATAGTAGAGGCCAAGATGAAGTACTTTGGCCACATCATGAGAAGAAAGGAAAGCTTAGAGAAGAGTATGATGCTGTGGGAAATGGAAAGAAAAAGGAAGAGGGGCCGACCAAGGGCAAGATGGATGGATGGTATCCTTGGTATCCTTGAAGTGACAGGATTGACCTTGAAGGAGCTGGGGGTGGTGACGACCGACAGGGAGTTCTGGTGTGGGCTGAAGTCCATGAAGTCACGAAGAGTCGGAAACGACTGAACGAATGAATGAACATCCATTTCTCACTTCTGTGAAGGACACCTTCCACTTTAGTTTTAAATATAAGGACACTGACCACCGTAGTTTTAAATATATGTGCTTTTTTAATGTTTTATTGTAATGTGTATTTTGATATTTTACCGATTGTATGTGTTTTTATGGTTGGAAACCGGGCTGAGTCCCTCTTATGAGGTGAGAAGCTTGGTATATAAAACTTTGAAATAAATAAAATAAATAAATTAAAAGCAGAAGCAGGTGGTTGGTGTGCTCTCCGTTGTGGATTCAAATTGACAGCACTGTGTACATTTGAATGTCTAGTTGGTTGAATCCATGGGTAATAAGCCCATAAATTTGACAGGCCCACTGTATTCAGAATATATTCGTTATATAAAATACAAACCTAGAATGTTGTAGTGGCAAAAGATCACTTCAAACCATTTCATGTATTTACCATAAATTTTGGCCCCGGGGGTTGGGTGGGTGGGTTATTGAATTGGATTTGGATAGTGCTATTCTGATACACCTCTGCTCAAGACATCTGATGTGAGCTAGCCAGTCTATGACCTAATTTGACTGTGCAGCTTCCTGTCAAGCTATGCTAGCCATCCTGTGTGTGGAAACAATCATTTTCTATATATAGTAATGTCATTCTGATGCCAAAAAGATGGTACTAACTCTTTAAGAAATGGAAGAGTAATAAGGAGGGTGAAAAGTGAAATTTTTGTACCTCCTTTAAGAAATACACTTTTAGAAATACAGTAGAGTCTTGCTTTTGTGTGTGTGTGTGTGTGTGTGAGGAACGACTTGAGAAACTGCAAGTTGCTTCTGGTGTGAGAGAATTGGCCAGCTGCAAGGATGTTGCCCAAGGATGCCCGGATATTTTGATATTTTACCATCCTTTTGGGAAGCTTCTCTCATGTCCCCACATGGGGAGCTGGAGCTGACAGAGGGAGCTCATCTGCACTCTCCCTGGATTTGAACCTCTGACTTGTCGGTTTTCAGTCCTGCCAGTACAAGGATTTAACCCATTGCATCACTGGGGGCTCTTGCTTATCTCGCTTATCCAACATAAACGGGCCAGCAGAACGTTGGATAAGCAAAAATGTTGGATAATAAGGAGGGATTAAGGAAAGGCCTATTAAATGTCAAATTATGTTGTGATTTTACAAATTAAGCACCAAAACATCATGTTTTACAACAAATCGACAGAAGAAGCAGTTTAATACATGGTAACGTTAAGTAGTAATTAATTAATGTATTTACGACTTTAGTAGCACCAAAACACTGCAATGTATTGAAACAGCTTTGGATCCAGGCGGGAGGCAGACTGCATTGGATATTACAGAATGTTGGATGAGTGAGGGTTAGATAAGTGAGACTCTATTGTATACACTGTGAAGCTGGCAGAGACAGGATCAGCTGTGATTTCTGGTATGGCTGAAACTAACCAATAAAACACTCTTCCTATTCAATATTTTAAAGCAATACAATGCAAAAGGTATCCGCTACAGCGGTGATAATTTTGGGGCATTTGTTTATTTAAAATTATAATTATATACGTTTTCATTATAAAATAAAATCTTGCTACTGGCTATAGATTGAGAGCCAAGTTCATACACAGTGAAATTATTGCTTTATTCTTATTAACAAACTAGTTTTAGTGCTTCCTTTTTCTACCAGTCATGGCTGTACAACAGATATAAGTAGTTCTTTTGTGTCCTTACAACAATCAAAGGTAGCACCACAGACATACAAGAATACTCCTTGAACACAACATACTGGATATTGTTCAAATTCAGAGATGAGACTGAAGATGGAAAACTATAGCTTAAGGAATCCTTAAATCAACATTTTGTCCAAAAAAGCAGTACTGCATGAAAATTTGCTGGCTCTGGTTTGCAACAGCAGGAATAGCATTGATATGAGGTCATCCTGCATAAGAACATTTATGCTTACCTCATAGCACCTCTTTCCTTTTATACCAGAAGGAAAGAAGGAGTTGGTACAGACATAGCCTTTGCCGGGCAATTTCCCATTCCCAAAGTCTTGGTGCTCCGCTTTAACACATTCCCATAAGTGTTCTGGGCATCCCTAGAAAAGCAGAGACTTTTTTGTCTGGACACTGAGAGCATTCTTTGATTATGTTCTATTTTTAAAAAAATTAGAAATCCAAACCTTTTTAGCATTAGAGGGTCTGCAGAAAAGCTCCAGGTTCTGTTTGGAAATCGAACATTTTTCTCTTGGCATGTTTTGTAACTCTAGTAGTTTCAATCTCTGAAAAATCTGGGTCTGTGGGGAAAGGAAAATGTATAACACTGCTTACATGTTCACAATGAAAGTGGCACCCAATGCTATAATGCAGTGGTTTCCAACTTTTGAGCCTCCAGGTGTTTTGGACTTCAGCTCCCACAGTTCTTAACAGCAAGGCAAGCTGTCTGGGATGTCTGGGAGTTGAAGTCCAAAACACCTGGAGGCCCAAAGGTTGGGAACCACTGCTGTAATGGCTACGGTAAGAATTAATGGGTATATAATAATAATAATAATAATAATAATAATAATAATAATAATCTTTATTTAATACCCCGTCACCATCTCCCCCAATGGGACGCCAAGCCCAACAGCATATTACAATAAAATAAAATAAAACACAGTAGCAACACAATAAACTACATACAACATATGAGTACAAAAAAGCAAAAAGAAAAATCATACACAATAAAATAACAATGTTCAAGATAAAAAACTAAAATACTAAAGATAATAAAATCAGGATGAGACAGGGATGGAGCAGATTGTTTGTGACATAAAAATATCTCTAAACGCAGACAAATGTAATTGTGAATAATTTGAAATCCTAAATGTGCATCTCTGCTATAGTCAGCCTTCTGCATTTAGTTGTTTTACTTCTGTAGGTTTATTTGTGCATTTGATGAATATCGGTATGTTCTCTATAGCTCTTCTATGGTCAACTTCCACTGGATGCTGGCCAAAGAGTTGTACTGGAGAACTTAAAGAGATTTCAAGATATAACACTTCTATAAGCAGTTGTGGGTCATCCAGTGTGATTCTATGGTCAACTTTCCCACAGAGTCTCATTGGAGGACCTAGAGAATTCTAGAGATACGTTCTCTCAGCTGAAAAATAGCATTATTTTGTGCACATTTCCCCCTCTTTTGCAATGGTCCTGTGCCCTTAAACTCAGCGAATGTGGAGAGCTGACTGTAAATTCAAACGTACATCAAGCCATTTTAGTGGCTTCCAAATTATGATGCAACCTGTGGTGTGATTCATGTTTAGGGAAGTTTAGTACAGCATTTGAAATCATACATAGATAAATAGCTGGAAGGATGGAAAGATGCCATTAAACTCATAGATCTGAGTATTGGAGGAAAGGGCAATTTAAAATACTTAAAATAAATATTTTAAATTCAAAAGCAGATATTTGAAGCACAATTTTATGGATAACCTGGAAGTGACACAATTGATTTACACGAACAAGAGATTTCAGAATGCAGTGTTTGCTGCCCAATTCAATTCTGATTATGGCAGTGATAATAGATCTCTCCAAAAAAGAAAACCTTACGTTTTTTAGTATATGTTCTTGACTCTTGGAAATTCGGTGAGAAGGCTCTTCTGATTTTTTCACTTCACTCTGCTTGGGGGGAAAATTATTTATTTATTTACTTCACTTGTATGCCGTTTTTCTCACCCCGGGGGGGGGGGGGGGGGGGGCAAGGGGATGGTCTCAAAGCGGTTTCCAACATATTTATGGCAAAATGTAATGCCCCACATGCCTACAAAACTTAACATAGAGCAACCATAACATATAACTATTAATTAGGTCAGAAAAACATAACAACATTTAGACAATTAAAATGTGGAGTTAAAAACACATTAATATAAACGTTAAAATCACAAAGAGAAACTATTGAGTTAACAAAGGTTTCAAAATGAGCTCAATGTGAAATTAGGACTGCTGTGGGATACTCAAGTTCTACTCCCTTCTTTGACATTATTACATGTTATAATCTTTTTAGAGGTTTGTTCTACAAAGGGGATATCATCAGAAAATTCTGAAGAACCCATTAACATTGCAAACATGTCCAAATAAACACAGATTCTGGGTTATTAAACCATTACATAACTTACAGTTAGTAAAATGTAAGCAAAAATACAGGTGTCCAAGTTTGAGGTCCATAGCTGGCTTTATAACAGAATTTTGGTGGCCAAGGAATGGTAGAATGGTAAAATGGTAAAATGACCAAATCTTGCTACATTTTCTTGGCAATTATAGATTTCCCAATGTATCCTAAAATAATGTTCAAAGCTTTCTTATAGTACACAATATACCGCCAATTGTCCCAATGTTATATGTAGTACTGAAATATTAACCAGCTTATTTTTTTGTGTGCGTCAGGAGCGGCTTGAGAAACTGCAAGTCGCTTCTGGTGTGAGAGAATTGGCTGTCTGCAAGGACGTTGCCCAGGGGATGCCCGGATGATTTGATGTTTTTATCATCCTTGTGGGAGGCTTCTCTCATGTCCCCGCATGAGAGCTGGAGCTGATAGAGGGAGCTCATCCGCCTTTCCCCAGATTCGAACCTGCGACCTGTCGGTCTTCAGTCCTGCTAGCACAGGGGTTTAACCCACTGCGCCACTGGGGACTCCAACTAGCTTAATGAATATCTAATACAGGCAAATTATAATTTACCATTGGTTCACGTGGCTGCTTAGGAATTCTTCTGGCAGGTGATTCGAAAATTAAACTCCTTTCCTTCTTGGTTTTCAGGCACTTCTTTCTTGACTTTCCCTAGTAAGCAGAAAACAGAACTACTAGGAACTCACAGCTAGATTTAATAGACTCAAATATATCCATGTTGTAATTTTTGATCTCATGGCTGGGCTTGGATGGGGAGAAGGAAAAAGAAAAAAAATTACCTATCTTTCGCCATCCAAGATATATGTCTCCGGAAACATTTAAAATTTCATCTTTTACTCATTATCACTCACTGGGGTGCAAAGGGGGAAAGGGTGTTGGATGGGGAAGTGCAAGGTAGATGGTAAGACTGACAGGTGAACAATAAAGGTGACTGGTTGATAGGTTTATACATGCTGGGAAGAGTCCATAGTCCATAGCATGCATCGATTGTAAGGTGCACCCTAATTTCAGTACTACAGCCAACAAAAAATACATTAGATACACCTGCGATTCTAAGACATACCCCATTTTTGTTTTGGAAAATGGAAATCTCCAGAACCTTTTTGGAGATTTTATAATCTTTGGAAAAGTATGACCTTGTTAGAAGTCATAACCTTTTGGAAAATCACAGGTCACATAGCACTTTGAAAAATGATGCCATAACCTCTTGGCAAAAAGCATGACTTGTCTGAGTCATAATCCTTTTGGGAAAATAGCATTCACCAGCATTCATGCAAGGAACTAGGTTTCTCAGCTGTTAAACCGATGTACCTAGGTATGCCTTTGAACTGTTAAGGACAAAGATATGCCAATGCGCATATAGATATTTTGTTGTTGTTCATTCGTTCAGTCGTTTCCAACTCTTCGTGACTTCATGGACCAGCCCACGCTAGAGCTCCCTGTCGGCCGTCACCACCCCCAGCTCCTTCAAGGTCAATCCAGTCATTTCAAGGATACTATCCATCTTGCCCTTGGTCGGCCCCTCATCCTTTTTCCTTCCATTTTCCCCAGCATCATTGTCTTCTCTAAGCTTTTTTCTCATGGTGTGGCCAAAGTACTTCATCTTGGCCTCTACTATTCTTCCCTCCAATGAGCAGTCAGGCTTTATTTCTTGAAGTATGAACTGGTTGGATCTTCTCGCTGTCCAAGGCACTCTCAGCACTTTCCTCCAACACCACAGTTCAAAAGCATTTATCTTCCTTTGCTCAGCCTTCCCTAAGGTCCAGCTCTCACATCTGTAGGTGACTATGGGGAATACCATTGCTTTAACTATGCGGATCTTTGTTGCTAGTGTGATGTCTCTACTCTTCACTATTTTATCAAGATTGGTCATTGCTCTCCTCCCAAGAAGTAAGCATGTCCTGACTTCCTGGCAGCAGTCTTCATCTGCAGTAATCTTTGCACCTAGAAATACAAAGTCTGTCACTGCCTCCACGTTTTCGCCCTCTATTTCCCTGTTGTCAACAATTCTTGTTGCCATAATCTTGGTTTTTTGATGTTTAACTGCAAACCAGCTTTTGTGCTTTCTGCTTTCACCTTGATTAGAAGGCTCCTCAGCTCCTCCTCGCTTTCGGCCATCAAAGTGGTGTCATCTGCATATCTAAGGTTGTTAATGTTTCTTCCAGCAATTTTCACCCCATCCTTGGATTCCTCAATCCCCGCACATCGCATGATGTGTTCTGTGGTCGGTTCTTACTATTGCTACTTAGTCCTTATACAGATTTCTCAGGAGAGAGATAAGGTGATCTGGTATGTCCATACCACCAAGAAGATATAGATATAGATATATGTAGCAAAGTTCATTTTAGTTTCCCAAAAACATCTAGGTAGTCCCCTGCCATTAAGTCCAGTCATGTCTGACTCTGGGGTGTGGTGCTCATCTCCATTTCCAAGCCGAAGAGCCAGCGTTGTCCGTAGACACCTCCAAGGTCATGTGGCCAGCATGACTGCATGGAGCGCCGTTACCTTCCCGCCGGAGCGGTACCTATTGATCTACTCACATTTGCATGTTTTCGAACTGCTAGGTTGGCAGAAGCTAGGGCTGACAGCGGAAGCTCACGCCGCTCCCCGGAATCGAACCTGCGACCTTTCGATCAACAAGCTCAGCAGCTCAGTGCTTTAATCCACTGCGCCACCGGGGGCTCCCTTCAAAAAAACATCTACTCTCCCTTAAAATATATTTGCCTTTAATCATGCTCTCAAAAGACAAAATAAACAGTCTTCTTTAAAAGTAACTCACAAACTTAGTGTATTCAGCATACAGGCACTTTGCATATGAATCCAGTTACAATAGGATTTTAAATAGTTTCTCTGTGTAGGTAACACAGCGCATGTTTCTCATAATCAATAGTCCAAAGCATCTCTCTGTCTGAGAGTCTAATAGAATATCTGTCTAGTCTCTAAGCATACAGTTCTGGATGAGGGCAAACAAATTGAAATGGAATCCAGACAAGACAGAGCTACTTCTGGTCAGTCATAAGGGTGAACAGGGTATAGGGTTGCAGTCTGTGCTGGACAGGGTTACACTCCCCGTGAAGATGCAGGTTCACAGCTTGGGAGTGATTCTGGATTCATAGTTGAGCCCGGAACCCCAGGTTTCAGCGGTGGCCAGGGGAGCTTTTGCACAATTGAAACTTCTGCGCCAGCTGCACCCGTACCTTGGGAAGTCAGACTTGGACATGGTGGGCCACACTCTGGTTACATCCTGCAACAACGTGCTCTACATGGGGCTGCCTTTGAAGACTGTCTGGAAGCTTCAATTGGTCCAACAGGCGGCATCCAGGTTGCTCCCCAGAGAAGCGTACAGGGAGCATACAACCCCCCTGTTATGTCAGCTCCACTGGCTGCCAGTCTGCTACCGAGCACAATTCAAAGTGCTGGCTTTAGCCTATAAAGCTCTAAAACTCATCTTCCCCTATGAACCATCTTGGAGATTACGATCATCTGGGGAGGCCCTGTTCTTGGTCCCACCTTCTTTGCAAGCATAGCTGGTGGGGATGAGAGACAGGGCCTTCTCAGTGGTGGCCCCTCGATTGTGGAACTCCCTCCCTAGTAATATTATATCTGCCCCTCCTTCTTAGCCTTCAGAAGGAGAGTAAAAACCTAGCTCTGGGAGCAGGCTTTTGAAAAATAGTGCGGTGCAGTAATTCTAATGTGAAATATGTGCAATTGATTACGGAATGGCCTTAGACTGTGATCCTTGGATGGCGCATTTTAACACTGGAATGTATTTTAATTATGTTTTATATGTATTAATTTTAATCCAATTTATTTTTAAGTCAACATTGTATGTTTTAGGCCAATGGTTCTCATCCTGTGGGTCCCCAAGTGTTTTGGCCTACAACTCCCAGAAATCCCAGCCAGTTTACCAGCTGTTAGGATTTCTGGGAGTTGAAGGCCAAAACATCTGGGGACCCACAGGTTGAGAACCACTGTTTTAGGCACTGTGTAGGTGCCATATGTAAGCCATCTTGAGTCCCTTTTGGGGTAGAGAAAGGCGGGATATAAATAAGGTAAATAAATAAAAAATAAATATTTTCCTACTGGAGTCTGACTGCAAACTTCTCTATGGAATTATAAACACTGAAAGTCTAACGGCTTCTGTTTTTCTAAAACAAAAGAAAACTAGTAAGTTGAATCCACAAAGGAAAAATGTGAACATACCTGGGAGACTACTTTAACAACAGGTTCATTGGAATCTGAGCTATCAGAGCTGCAAAAGAAAATAATTATGGGATTTTTTTAATATACTAGGTTGTGGAGTATACAATGTTAATGAAGGTTCATCTGCAAACAAAATGAATTATCTGCTCAGATAACATTTCTGAAAAACACGTCAACGCTACTGATTCCCCTGTTCAACGATGGCCTAGAAATGTAAGCATACAAGAAGAGAAAAATGTACCTGGAATCTTTATCCACTGTGTCATTGACAGAAGTAATGTGGTCATCCTGTTTCACCATTTCTTCCAGTTCCTTGATGTATTCATTATACTGGGAAGAGTACACAGGTAAAAAATAGATTTTAGTACATCACTATTTCCATGTGAAAACAAATCCTTTGGCTTTATTACTAAAGTGTTCAAAGAAATGAAAGAAACTGTTTTTTTAATGTTACCTTGTTTTTGTTTTCAGTGCAGAAGTTCAGCAATGAATCACAGAAATGGTAACCTACGGATTCTAGATCCTTAGTAGTGAAGTGTGTACCAAGTGTGTTACCTGGAAAATCAAGCGGGAACACTCAGTGATCGAAAAATACTTCAGCGATAATTTCATCTAATGTAATGACTGGGGAAACTGATGTCTGACTGCTCTTTCAAAAATATATAATATGTGTATTCTACACATTTTCTATATGATCGTTGAGGATTGTTCCTTCTCTCGAACTATCGAAAAGGGGTTCTTATACAAAATACAAACAATGTTTATTATATCAGTTTACTTATGATGGCTTCTCCTAAAAGATCCTGAGACATGTGAAATACTGCTTGGAACTTTCCATTACGGATTGCTACTCTCTGTCCTATTCTTATAAAACTACAGTTCCCAAAGAAGACGGAGTTTAAGTTAAACCATGCTGCTGTGTAGATACGGCCTGAGTAAACGCAGTTACATATCTGGCTGTCTTAACTGCAAAACTGGAGACTTTGGACGCATCTAGACAGTACCTGAAGTTCCCGCCCTCCCATGTTTTCCCCTAGGGCATCTAAATGACAGCCCATGTAAATGAGACTGCATTCAGCACAAAGCAGTAAAACCTTTCTTTGTGCTGAGTAAATCATTGAGAAAGACGCGGGTCTTCTTGAAAGACACGCATCTTTCCTGCTGTGGGTGGAGTCTGGACTGCCCCCTCAGAAGTCCTGAGGGAGCCGTCCACATAGCCCTCTCATGTTTTCCGGCCCCCATGAGGCCAGAATATCTGAGAGGGCTCTAATGCCCTACCCAACCCCACCTCCTGAAAAGCGTTTTAAAAAAATAAAATAACTTTCCTGGCTGCTGGAGCTCTCCTGGTGCATAGGAAAGAAATGCCAGGAGATGGGGGGCAGGAGTGATTTTCCTCCTCCCCCTCTTCTCTTGGCATGTCATTTCTACGTACCAGGAGAGCTCCGGCAGGACTTTAATGGCAACTGGGTAAGCTATTTTATTTTTAAACACTTTTTAAAGAGGTTTTGGGAGGAGGGTGGGGCTGTCTCCCTGACTTCTCGGAAGGTTCTGAGAGGGCATCTGGACACCCTCTGAAAAGCACACACTTTCGGGGTGGGGGATGGACTAGAACTGTGAAAAATTGCAATTTTACAACGCAATTGTTCGCCAGTTAAAGGGTTGTGTGGATCTGCCCTTTGTTACATGTCTCAATACCAATTCTGGAATAAAGCTATTATTTGCGTTACCCAGTTTAGAGCCACAGAAAGTAACTTCCAAGGTATAGCTGTTGCTGATTCCCATCTTCCACATAACTACTCGTCCAGTTCCTTCTTTGCTTTTCTGTATTTTGAAACTGCAGTCTGAAAATGAGAACTTAGAGAAAAAAGAAGCAGAATTGGTGTTAATGAATAGCCCTCAATACAAACATTACATTATAGTAGATGAGGCAAATGCAGGACACAATATTTTACTACCCAAGCACCATAATCCTTAAAGCATTTATATCCTACTTCATTCCCAGGATTTTAGGATGTCACGCAAACTAAATCAATGTTAATTATTTAAAACAATTTAAAATGTAAATCAGTAAAAGATTGTCAGCTGATCACTACTGACCAAAAGGTCATGAGTTCGAAGCCAGCCTGGGTTGGAGTGAGCTTCTGACCAATTTGTGTAGCTTGCTATTGACCTTTGCAGCCCAAAGGCAGTTGTATCTGTCAAGTAGGAAATTTAGGTACCGCTTACGCGGGGAGGCTAATTTACGACACCATAAAAATCTCCAGCAAGCATGCAAAGAATGAGGAAGAACTTCATCAGTGTCACAAATGGATGGTGAAGTGACAGCTCCCCTGGTGGCCAAAATACCCTCATGAAAAAGCTGGAATGTTAAATAGCCTCTGTGTGTCTGTCTATATATGTTGTATGTCTATGGCATTGAATGTTTGCCATGTGTATGTACACTGTAATCCCTGAGTCGCCTACGGGGTGAGAAGGATGGAATACAAATACTGTAAATAAATAAATAAATAAATAGACTTAACAGCACATTACATGATTTCACAGATGAAAAAAGATCTTTAAAAGCCAGAGCAGTTAAAAATCATTTGCTTTTGGAATAAAACACTTAGGCTCCAAAAGCTTAATAGAAAGCAATGCTTAACTTGGTACCAGGATCACGTTGGTGCCAACTGGCATTTGACAATCTATGAGCCACAGTCAACAAGGCCTTCTCTCCTATTTTCCCATGGGATGTTGCTCCCATTTGTGGCACACAGAAAAACACTATTCCAGGACACCTCAATCTGAAAGAAGGTGAACAGCAAAGAGGCATTACCTACATATGCAGTCTTTGTGTGACAGCCCCAAGTTTTAAAAGCAAGCCATAGTCACTGCTGAATGTTTTTATGTTGAATGTTTTATGTTGAATGTTTTTTATATTGAATGTTTTTATATTGAATGTTTTATATTGTGTATAAACTGTTTTAAATTGTAAGTCGCTCAGAGCACCTTGGTGGAGAGTGATTAATTAAGAAATAAAGTGATGATGATGATGATGATGATGATGAAAGGTGAAGTCACCTTCATATGCTCTGGTATAAACAACTTAGTTGCGTGCCTATTATAAACCCACAAAATAAGATGCAAATTGTGTAACCATTAGCAGTAAAAATCATGGCTGTTTATGTTCTCTCTCTCTCCTGCATTAAAAACTAAAATACCATATATAGCTGAGTATAAGCTGACCTGAATACAAGCCAAGGAACTAACTTGTTACAATTTTTATATTACTTCAACCATACAGAGCCCTGGCAATTCATTTATATACTGAAGGGACTTCTAACAACTAAAATGTAAGATTTGGCTTACTTTATCTGGACAGTTTTTGCTCATAATGAAAGGAAAAATGCGCTGGTGTAAGTATGAGCCTTCTTCTTGCTGGTCCTTTCTTTCACAGCCATACATGAAGACATTCTCCTTCCTGCTATGACCATGAAGGTCACAATATAGGAGAACATTGCGCTCTTCCATCATTCTTTAACAAGAGAGAAAATTTTGTACAGTTATGCTGGTGGATGAGCTTTTTCATATATGTCATTAGGGATGTGCAATCCATAAAAATGGTTCAGAAGTCATTGCAAAACTGGGGGGCAGTGGTATTTTGTTTCTAAATTATAGGTAGTGAAAAATTCATCACTATAACGAGAGTAATGAAATGTCATTACTATTTTGTTATAGTAACTGCACATAATTACTATAATTGAGGAAACTTCAAGGTCTCCTATCTCTCTCATTTTTAAAGCTGTTGGGGTGAAACTTGCGACAATGGTAGAGTACATTTACCACTGTTAACCCACCAAATTTCAGAACATTTCACTTATTTGTGGATTTTTGGGGAATTTTCCAAAGTTTTTATAAACAACATTAGAAAAACTACTTGAATTTTATATACAATGCACAAGATAACCAGGGCATCAATCCCCAGAAGGTTCAGAAAGATTCACACATCTACACATTTTGGGGGATTTTAAAAAGTTTAGACGAAAACAGTTTATCCCCAAAAAAGTGACAACAGCAATTCCCTTGAATATCTGTCTTTATGACACGCAACCAGATAACTTCAATTTAGCACAGAGTTATACAATTACTTACTAACTTTAATCCTCTTTGCAGATTCAATAATTTTATTTATTATAATAATAACTCTAAACAGCTGGTGCCGCTCATTGGGGTGATTTCTGATGCTGAGAACTGCATTCTGGTAAATGTAATTTAGGGCAGGGCCTTTGGCATTATCTGCCACAGGGTGCTTCCCTTTCCCAAACTACATTCCTAAGATGCTTGCTATGTTTCCAGTCTCCTGCCCAAGTTTGCTAGTCCTGCTAGCAATCAAAACTTGCCAAATTTAATTAATCTCTGAACTAAGATTAAATTCAACAGAATGGATCATGCACTAATTAATAACAGTTAATAACATTGACCAAGGCTCTTGGGATCCCTCATTCATAGGATGAAATCAACTTGAATGGAACTAACAACAAATAATGAACAAAGAGTTGCTATACAAACAGAGAGGAGTGGTGGTGTTACCTTTTTACCTTTTGATCATAGTGCGAGTGTACCATATAGGAGGGTAGGATTCCTTGAGCTCCGATTTGTAATTCCGATTCAAATCCCTGCCGGCTAAAGAGCAGCGATAATTGCCCACAATCACGCCATCTGGATTCAACATTGGAACCACTTTAAAAACAAATGTGTCTCGGAGCAACTGGGCATTACTTGAATCTCCTAGAATGTAATCCAGAAAGCCCTTCATCATCCAGGAACTGTTGGTTTCACCCGGGTGCACCCTAGCAGTCAAAATAATGGCTGCCTTGCGTTTTTCCTCCCTAAAATCCTGCAAGGGGTTTGTGATGGTTAAGACATAGACTATATTTCTTGCCAAAGAATGGCACAAAATCCGGACCTTGCAGAACTTGGACCTCCCTGGGTCTGTTGCGATGTCTGACAGGTAGTCTTGCAGGTTGCTATATGTGTAAGGATAGCAGTGGGCAAAATAGCAGGTGTCCCTGTTATGTGGGAACTGGAATGTCCATGTCAGGGAAAAATACTGACGTCCATCATGACTGAGATTGTTTTTGTAATATTTTATTTCGTCTCCTGTCCTCTGCCAGCCCACATTGCGGATCTTTGCATCTGTTTCTGAATACAGCAATGGACGCATCCCGCGATTGTACAAACTTGTTGGCTTGGTGAAGTTGACGATGGTGAAACGGTAAGGCATTCCTGCTTGGGTGTTAGTGACTTGGAAATAATACCACTGAGTATGCCTTTTTGTGTAGAGATCAGTGCGAAGTGTCAGCTGATACTCAAAATCACTACTGGCAGGGAAAAGAAGAAAAATATCTGTTAGTACAGTAGAGTCTTGCTTATCCAACCATTGCTCATCCAGCGTTCTGTATTATCCAACCCAGTCTGCCTCCCGCATCTATTGCTGTTTCAATACATTCCAATGTTTTGGTGCTAAATTCATTCATACAGTAACTAGTACATAACGTTACCATGTACTAAATTATTTATTTACTTACAGTATTTATATTCCGCCCTTCACACCCCGCAGGGGACTCAGGGCGGATTACAATGTACACATACATGGCAAACATTCAATGCCATAGACACACAACACATATAGACAGACAGTTAGAGGCTATTTAACATTCCAATTTTTTGGCCAACAGAGGAGCTGTCGCTTCACTGTCCATCTGCGACACTGTAAATCTATTTACTACAAATAAATAAATAAACAAACAGATAAATAAATAAATTGGGTTTTTTTTGTCAATTTGTTGTAAAACATGAAGTTTTAATCATAACATAATTTGAAGTTTAATAGGCTTTTCCTTAATCCTTCCTTTGTATTCAACATTTTTGCTTATCCAGCGTTCTTCCAACCTGTTTATGTTGGATAAGCAAGACTCAACTGTGTAAATCATACTATCAAACATCTAATACAACAATATGTTTTACTGTTAGGCTTTTTTGAACTACATGGACCTTGCAGTCCCATTCTAATTTTATGATTCTATAATATGATTTTCATGAATATTTTGTCTGTAGACTCTGCCAATTACTCATCTATCCCAACTTGTGTAGAATATATTCAGTGAAGTATTTGTACCTGCGTTAACAGTAAGTGAGAAGTTAAACCAGCTGTGCTATTTGTTTCTGCTTGGTCTACAAATCATGTAACAACACAGGCATTAATTACATCCAAAGAAATCAATCCTTTGCTCAGTTGCAAGTTTACTGTATAAAATAACTTCTAATACAGGTTGTAAAATGGTGTCAGAAGCCACTATCTGTCTCTATATTTTTCATCTTTGTTGGGTTTGCAATGTTATAAAAGCAGTGTATCATTCTTTTATCTTGAAAGTTATGCCTTGTCTAAAAGGAGAAAATTGTTTATGAAATTTAAATATGTCCAATCTTTCAGCTCAATTTAAATGAGTAATTTAAAGGTGTTAAGTCAGTGGTTCCCAACCTTTTTTTTTTTTGGCCAGGGACACCTTTTTTGGTTGTTGTTAGTAGGGACCACAAGGTTCAAGAATAATAAACTGTGTTAACCTAAAAATAAACTTTAATCAAAACTTTTAACATATTCATTAAACTTAATAGTAACATAAATTAAGAGTACTATTATAACATAAAATGAACATTTTAAATAGAAAATTAAATTGGGTTTGCATCAATGTGATTTTTGAGCTTGCATCTTCTTTACAAGGTGGGCAATCCTGGGGCTAATATTATTGTTCAAAGCTACACGTATATCATCACTTACTTTCAATCGATTGCTGGAATTGTTTTTAATTACCATCAAAGCAGAAAAACTAGTTCGCATAAATAAGTTGTGGAGAAGAGCATATGACTAATAACTGGGCAACTTACAGGGAGTGGTCAACCCCCCTGTTTAAGGAGCTCCACTGGCTGCCATTTATTTTCCGGTCCAAATTCAAGGTGCAGGTTATCACCCATAAAGTCCTAAACGGTTTGGGACCTGCCTACCTTTGTGACCGAATCTCTCTCCATGAACCATCTCGGGCCCTCCGTTCCTATGGGGAAGCCCTTCTTTTGCCCCTGCCAGTCTCCCAGACTCGCTTGGTGAGTACAAGGGAGAGAGCCTTTTCCTCTGTGGCTCCCCGACTCTGGAACTCACTCCCTGGAGAGATTAGGAAAGCCCCTACCTTAGAAACCTTTAAAAAGAACCTCAAAACCTGGCTCTTCTGCTGCACATTTGATGAGTAGATCTACATCCTCATACTAGTGTTTAGCTTAACTATTTTTGTTATTGGAGTGCATTCCCCCCATAGGAAAGTTTTGCTCCACGACCTCCACTAAAACAAGCTCTCCTCCGCAAATAATCTGTCCTTGTTTATCTCGTGTTTATCTCACCTGAGTTTTTAATCTGTTTCTACCAAATTTTCTTTTATCCATTACATGTAGCTCCCACATGTTATCGTGATTGTGTTTATTGCGTTTATTGTAATTTTATATTGCTATGTTGTTTTTTGTTTTATGTAATGGCGTTATTATTGTTTATTATTTGCATTTTCGGTTTTGTTTTTATTTCATGTAATTGTTGTTTTGGGCTTCGCCTCATGTAAGCCGCACCGAGTCCCCATTGGGGAGATGGAGAGGGGTACAAATAAAGATTATTATTATTATTATTATTATTATTATTATAAGATTTCACAAGGCGATTCCTCAAATTTTAGTATAAAAATTGTTTTTTTATACCAAAACTCTTCAAGATAATCAATTCAAATGCATTCTTGTAGTTTCTATCGCTTTGAAATTCAATGAGCTCTTCCTGGATTTCTTCTGCGACCCTTCCAATTTCAATCATCATTAAATAAGTCAAAATTATTATGAATATTGAGGACTCGTGGTCAATAAAACGACTGGAGCTGTCAAATCACTAAACAGCAAAACAGAATCACTGACACAGCCGAGCAAGACAAAAGAATGCATGAAACTGAATGATGCTGGGTGGCATGAGTATGTGACATGTAACTTCAATCTCTTGCCCTCCCCCGGCTTCCCGTGCTCGTCTGACAGCCTACTTGTCAGTGTAGCCCCACAATACACAGTTTCCTCAAATAATACAAGAGGCATTTGAATCACATTTAGTTTTCATAACCATTAAGACTTATTTCTTTAAAAGGACCTGGACAAACAATAGCAACCAATAAAAAGAAACTGATGAGCAACCTACATTTTAACCACCTTCTGCAGATTGCCACTTTCAAAGCGTGCTTCAAAAATCAAAGTATTGTCCCAGTCATTCCAGGATTGAGGAAGCACCTGTTTGGAAGGGAAGCTCCCTCCTATTCGAGAATACATAAAGCTGGAATCTTTATCAGCTGGTGGGAAGAATAAAATAATTATTCAGTTGTTACTGTAATTATACAGCCCAATAAAATATTTTTTCTTGGGTGTCTTGATTTTTAGGCCTGTTTCTGGGATTATTTGGGATGTTGATTCAGAAAATTGTATTGGATAGACCATAGCAACTCAAGTTTCTTAGATATGGTTGTTATGATTTGCTATGGGCATATGTTCTGTATCTCAAAAACTAGAGTTGACAGGGAACAACTCATGTCATTTTTAGAATCAGCAGGTCAAATACACCCTGAAACAGGGCTAACTTTTGAGGCATCAAAATGTGTGTTGTTATTTATTAGGAAAGAGGCCTCCTAGAAATAATTATATGCACAGTTGTTAGTCATATCCTCTATGAATAAAACACATTTTGAAAGTAATCTTATTAAACTTGATCTTCTCAATATCTAATCTTCATGCACAAGGTCAAAATCTAGGAAATATTTGGTAGTGATAGTGCACTTTTATGTATAATAGATTTTGCTATGCATAATATTATATGATGTAATACAATGTTGTTAAAACTGTAGTCTTTGGCCATTAAAATAATGTGCACTATTTTTTCAAGTTTCATGAAGTTTTTCAGATAATATTTTGCATAGGTCTGAGCTTTTAAAAATTGCAAATAAAATAAAAATAAATGTGTTCAAGTTGAAGGCACTTTGGGGCACAATGTTCTCAAACCTTGGTCTGATAAATACACCACAGCACCCTCTCCAGGTTCTGGGCAAGGTGGCTCTGTTTCCAAACCGGTTGGGTAGTATAGTGGCTCTGGATGAGGTGGAACCCACTCTGGGGAATAAGAGAAAATAAAGTAATCCTTAAGAATTATGGCTAACATTAAATGTTCATAGAAGTTAGGGCACTGAGAAAAATGAAATAACATTGAACATAATGCACTGGAAAACAATAATGAAATGTTGGTTTCAAAATCTAGCTATAACACAGTCCTATGCACATCTGCTTCTAAATTTCAGTGAGTGCTATTTATTTATTTAAAACTTTTGTATCCCGATCTTCTCTACCTCCATAGAGGGACTCGGACCGGCTAACAGCAAGAATTCAATGCTAACAATAAACTTTTAAAACATCATACAGAGCCAATATGTTAAAAATACATATAAAATAAAATACATATAAACCATTCGCCAAGATAAAAAGAATGTCCAACTCAGTCTTCACATTGTGGTCAATAACTTTAGCCAATTACGGGTCTCAGCAATCACTCTGCAAATGCCTCATTCCATAGCCAAGATTTCACTTGCTTCCTAAAGTTCAGGAGGGATGGGGCAGATCTAACTTCAACTGGAAGAGAGTTCCATAGCTGGGGGGCCACCACAGAAAAGGCCCTGCCTCTCGTCCCCACCAAACGCGACTGTGAAAGTGGCGGGACCGCCCTTGATGGTTCGTAGGGGAGAATACATTCAGACAGGTAAACTGGGCCGGAACCGTAAAGGGTTTTGTAGGTTAAAACCAGCACTTTGAATTGTGCTCAGAAGCTAATTGGCAGTGCTATAGGGCTTATTCTCTGATAGCTAGGTACAGAGTATTTCAAAGAGCTAAAACTTTATTCTTCTAGTTTGCCTAAAATTGAACGTTTTATTTTATCTTTCATAATCAGGAGTTAATTAAAAACTTTACTATTTCCTTCTTCTGTGAATCCTGATAAAGCAAGGGATAATAACTCCCCCCCCCCCAAAGAACAAAATGCAATATAAAAAGGACCTAAAATATTATCTATAACCAAAATAAGCTGAGCAATTTGTCCTCCATTATATTACAATCTATAGCAGGCATAATGTTAACAATGTAGAAAAATGACTGGAACAGATAATCTACACAAAAATGTTTCACTGACAACTATTGTACACACTTTATAAACCAAACATCAGTCTGTCACTTTGGCAATAACCAATGCAGTAAAAGTGTCCAAGAACAGTTCTTGGTGCAGGAACTGATCCTGATCTTCTGATCATACTACCCGTATTTACTCGAGCCTAACACGCACTGAATATAACGTATTGCAAAAAGAGTGACTGATATACGGAGCCAATGTTGAAATGTTTATAAACATGTAATGCTTTAAAATACGCCTTTACATATGTTTTTTGTTCTCCCTGCTATAGAAGAATACATCACTAAGACAGCTGTATGGGACACTGAATTAAAAATGGTTGTCTTCACATCATAGAAGATATTACTTTGAGACAAAAACTGTATAGTATAACTCTTGCAACTGCCTTTAATTATGAACAAAATAGGTTCTGTAGGTTTGTTCCTAAGTTGAATTTGTATGTAAGTTACAGATACATTTTTAAGTGTAACCACACACACACAGAGACATACACACATACATGCTTTGGATAGCATAGAGAAGGGTTAACACCCCTGTAATGGTTGTTTTGCTGTCTGTGCCCATATTCTGAAGATTTTTACCTCACTTTCTATCCATGTGATAGCTGGATTTTGAAAAAAAAAATGGCTTGTTGTGGAAACAAGGTTTGGTGCTAAAGCTTCAGTGGAGCCATATTTTCCCCTATGATAACACTTTCAGGAGTGAATATCCCTTCCATTTCTCACACTTCCTGTTGTCTCACCCCTGTTCATAACTATGAGTTGTTTGTAAGTTGGATGTTTGTAACTTAAGGACTGCCTGTACTTTTCCTATATTTTTAAATGACATAAGAATGCTTTGCCAGAAGGTGTCAGCACAGGACCACCGCAAAGAGAATTATACATACAGGTATTTTGCTCAATTATAGTAGTCATTGTGAAATTCACTAGTGAAATGAAAGGAAGGAACTTCATCACGGTTGGCAGAATCTGATGCATAATATATGATGTAATACAATGTTGTATAAAGATCTTTTCACAGATTGTAAAGCTGTAAAAAAAGTTTTTCCTCGTATCTTTTCAATCCACAGCAGTCATTCACAACTGTCCCAAGACATTTTATTGCCTGAGGCAATGTGCGCTCTCCTAGTTACTTGGTTTTTGAAGCCAATTAAATTGGTATTACTAAAAATACTTTCAGACCGACAAATGTTCTAAATCAGAACAAACTTCTCAAGTTATTTACCAATATGCTCAATTTTCTCTCTGATAACTTCATATTGATGAGGCCAGCGTATTATGTTCAGGTGTCCAGCAGGAGACAGTCCATATAAATCACGTGGTTCACGAAGCCGTGGCACCCATTTCCCTGAGTTGTATTCCAACAAAAGCTGAGTCGTCCGTGGCAAAAATTGGTCACAAAAAGCATCTATGACATAAGGAGGGGAAAAGACAATGATCTCTATTGTCCTTGCGTTACATAACTCAAATTAGACTACACATCGGTTTGATACAGTTGAGAAGCTCCATGCCATCTGTCTACTTGGCATGACTTCTAAAGATTTTAGCAACATGACAAACAGTTAAAACTTAGAAAAGCAGTAGAATATCATGAATGAAGCAATACCTGAATTTGCTCTACAAACTTTTTTTTTGGTTCAAGCTACTGCTTTTCTATTTCTGTAAAATCTCTTGGTCCATCTAGGGTAGCTGTAAATAAGTATTTGAGGTGACAAAAGAAAGTGGGTTTGTGTTTTGGGAGTCAACAAAGATTGTTTGGCTATGCTGTTTGGAGATTTGTATGGATATTATTTTTTGTTTGGAATTATGTGCTCTCCCTGAGTATATGCTGAAAGAGACAGGGCTTCAGTTGTGTCAGTCATTTGATTGACGAGAGCTAACAGAAATGATAGGCTGAGTATTTATTTATTTACAAAATGCTTGGGGGAAAAGCCGTTTTGGATTTTGGAATACCTGTATTCACGTATACATGCATAATGTGATGTCTTGGAGATGGTACCCAAGGCTAAACACAAAAATATTTTATGTTTCACATACAACTTATACATAAAACAATAAGGTGAATTTACACACATTTTAAAAATAATTTTCTGCATGAAACAAAGTTTGTATATATTGAACCATCAGAAAGCAAGGGTGCTTCTATCTCAGTCATATATCTGGGCAGTTTTGGATTCTGAAATATTTCAAATTTCAGAATTCTAGATAAGGGATGCCCAATCTGCAGATCTGTATAGCTGCTGCTTCAGTCTCTGGAGCACAAGCTTTTAAAAGGCAGAAGATGAGTTGGTTGGGCTGTGCTGTATAGAAAATTGTGTGTCCTGCTTCATAAATGAATTTCAACAATAATAAATATGAAGTACTATATTTAGGCAAGAAAAAACCTTGCTTAGAAACAGCACAATTAAAAAGGGGCTTAGGAGACTATGAGCTAAACATGTGTCAATAGTGAAATGCAATGGCTAAAAAAAAACACAATGAAATATTGGCCACATCAATAGGGGCATGTTGTCCAGAATGGAGCATGGAGAAGGGTAGAATAATTTCACATAAACTTTAGGAAGAAATTCTTTACTGTAAGAGCAATTCCATAATGGAACAGATGGCTTTGAAAAGGTTGGTTCTCTTTATTTGGAGGTCTTTAAACAGAGGTTTAATAGCCACTTTTCAGGAGCGCTTTATTTGTATGTTCCTACATGGTAGAAGATGGAACAATATGATCTTTCTAGTCCCTTTCAACTCTTATCATTTTATGAATCCTAGTCATTATGCATCCAGCTACAGATTTTTCACTTCAAGTAATTATCTTGTCACCATTATCACTGTACAAAAGTATAAACAGACTTCTATTAATAAGCATACTGGCATCACACAAACGATAAAATCTCATTGCTGGTTTTTGATGACATATGTTGAGGCCTGTGAAGCCTCGGAGGATGAGGACGAGGATTTTCTGGTTGAGCCTGTGGGGGAAAAAAAAGTGTTTTTCGAGAGGGTGGGAATGTTTTGGGTAGATCTGCCTTCGGTAAACAGGCAATGATTCTCATGTGAATCAGCCAGGGATTGACTATCTGAAAGGAATGTGGAGGGGACAGGAGGGGTACAGATAACCCAGCATCTGATGGGATAGTGCAAAACAGACAAATCCAGTATTCCCAGAGACTGAATGGTAAACAAAGGGAACACAGGTATGAGAAAGAGTGATGTAATGGGCAAGGGGGTGGGGTATTCTTAAGGAACGGGAGTCAATGTTCAGGAGGTGAGCGTGGGAGATCAACCTTGGATTTTCAGGGGTCAAGTTGCCTGTCTTGGAAGCTCCGAGTTAGGAGTTCTATTACTGGATCTGTGTCTTGTTTTCCTGTTTAAGTTCCAGGTCCCCTGCTTGGATGATAAATCTTGTTTCAATCATCAAGCATTTGGATTGTGGTCATGTTCATGCTTTCAAGCTTTAGGATATAGTTCTAGTTTAAGTGCCACAACTCTGTGGGATTACAGTTTCTTGCTTTTGCCTTAAGTGATTTTTGGTATTCCTATTCAGAGTCGGTCCTTGCTTTTTGTTAAACTTTTGGAAATCTGGCTCATAGATGTATTTTGAAACTGTTTTTATATTAAATATCCTTTTATTGATAAACTTATTATTCTTATTTTTCTGTGTGATGTTTGGGTGAAAAAGCGATCAAGTAGGCGGCTGGGCTGCAACAACATAGTGTTCTGTATGATATGGACATAATTTCCTCAAATGTATGCCCATGTGTGTAAAACACATGCCAGAATGCTGATACGCCCCAGAGAGCTGCAAATTTATTTTTACTCCTATCCACAGTCATATTGTTTCACTATTATGACAAAGAAAAAAAATCAAACCTGAAAAAAATCCACACTGCTCAAGATCTTCTGTTAAAAATTGATTAAAGGGATCCTCATCCTAAAATGAGGAAAAATATCAGAAAATAGCATCATTCCTATTCCTTGCAAAAGAAAAATAAATAATAACATCCAACATGTAGTAATATCCATTTTGAAACAGTAACCACTGTGACTTATACTAGAGAAATAATATGTGTGTCTGTCTGTCTATAGTTTCAACATTGTGAAAAGTGGATCCTTGGTATGCATCTTAACAGAGTTATTTTTATACATAATAAAGACATTTGCATGTCTTCCATACATCTATTTTAAAAAGACAACTTAATTTTAATTTTTTTCAATAACCCTGTAATTAGAGTATGAATGTAACTTAAAGCAGGTGTATCATGTTAGGAAAAGATATTTGAAATTCAGAATATGAAAAGCAAGCCATTAGAGATCTTACAAGAAAACTAAATGGCACTGTGTTAATAAGACCTAATATAATGTGAACACAGGATAAATACTGTATAGGAGAAATTGTTAAATTGTGATGACAGTAGAAAATTACACATAACCTGGTATTTATTTATTTATTTACAACATTTATATGCCGCCCTTCTCACAACTAACTGCTATGTGCACGTGAATTCAGCACATTGTCCCAATTTCCACTGAATTAAAAAAATAGAAAAAAATTGATAACTGCACATACCATAATGTCTTCTAAATCTGGTTGGTTAAGAGTTATTTGGGGTCAAAATTACTATCACTAACAATCAGTGGCAAAATTCATTCATATCTCCCTTCTGTAAATGACGGCAATAACTGGAAGCACAAAGGTTGTTTATTTTGGTTTAATTTCCAAATAATGAACAAGAGATCTTTACTTGTTATTTTAAAATTGTTGGGGTAAGGGAACAGAATGAGACATCAGGAATACATGATCATTATAGTACCGTAGAGAAGTTGAATAAAAATGCAGTTATGGTGCACAGTGGTGATGCAAATCCAATTTAAATGTATGAGAATTATGAGGACTGCAGGAGTGGAAACCTGAACTTTCAAAACTAGCATATGTCCAGCAAAAATATCAACTTGAAGAAGAAACATACCGAATTGTAATCATCACTGTTCAATTGTCCTATGTGCTGTTTATCTGAATCTTTGGACATAATCTTCTGAAATCAGGCCCTTTATTTTTCCTGGCTGTGAAACACATAGAAATGAAACATTTGAACACTACATGCAGACTCAGCACAATTCCTCCCATTTTCAATAAATATAATTGAGTTGTCTGTGCTTTTACATGATTAACAGCAACCCATAACCTTTATCAGGCAATTCACGTACACAGATAAACACTGGTGAAGAAACATGTACTTCTATCTCTATTGGCATGGAACTAGAATCAGAAGCTGGAATCCAATAAAATTGGTTCCAATGGTGGAATTCTTTCCATCAGCAGAACTGGATCAGCGCAGCAGCTTTGTGTATTCTTAACTTTATTCAGCAATACATTTCTGTTATTTTCTATCTTGATGAGGGAAAGCCTTACAGAAGAGGTTTTGGGGTCATGTGAAAAGTAATGCATGGGGGAGGTTATGCAGTCCTACCGTACCAAGTAGTGAGTCTCTAGCATGATGGTGGATTTAGACTGCAGAGATCATTCCAAGTACCCTCTCATGGATTGTCGCCTTAACATCCCATGCCATCAGCTAAGATAGCTAGGACCCATGGGAGTTAAAGTCAAACAACATTGGAGAGGATTAAGACTCCACTTCTGCTTTGGTAATAGTAAATAATCTAGTAAAAGCATACCGGATTACACTTTCACTGGCAAAGCATTCTAATGACGAACTGATGTACTGTAGATCTACAAAAACATATTCAGAAAATCTCCTCTTGGTATGTATCTGTCAATGTTGTTTATGCAATTACCACATGCACACACACAAAAGCCAAAAGTATTTCCTGTTCTATATTTTATTACAGCTGTTAGCACAAACAAATCAGTGATGATTCCACATTTAACTTTTCCTTTATAAGAAATTATTGAAAGTGGTAACCACTCCCAAATGAGGTCAAATTTCAAGTTCATCCTATGGGCTACAGGTGAAGGGGAAAACACGTTCGTGCAAAGTTTTATATTCTTACTATAATGCGAATAGTATGGTTGTGTCAAACAGGATTCTTTAACAGCAACATTATTGATCTTTTTGTCTACAATAAGCAAGATGGGAGGCACTTTGTTTATCAACAGGCTAAGAACAACACAGCACTTATTACTGTGTCAAAGATTTATTTTCTTCATCAATTTAATTCTTCAGGACATTGTGTTTTTAGTGTAACTATGTTTATTTAAATATTAGCATGTGTCATTTCTATTTTATATTATTTTTGTTTTTTAGTAGTCACAATTCTATTGATGTTTTGTATTGCTTTGATTTGTTTGTCTTTGTTGACTATGGCATTGAATGTTTGCTCTTTTTTGTATGTAAACCACTCAGCCCTCTCAGGGAGAGAGGGTGGTTTATAAATAATAATAATAATAATAATAATAATCATTAATGTAAACAAACTGAACACAGGCACTTGATATTTTGTGGAGTTATCTTCAGTCTCCATAACCATGAGAAAACAGAGCAGAAATTAATTCAAATCCTTAGTACTCTCTGAAGACAATATTGTTGTTGTGTACTTTCAAGTCATTTCTGACTTATGGTGATGCTAAGGCAAAATCAAGGATTTTCCTGGCAAGCTTTGTACAGAGGAGGTTTGCCTTTAACTTTCCTCTGAGGCTGAGAGAATGTGACTTACCCAATGTCACCCAGTGGGTATCTATGACTGAGCATGAATTTAAATTCTAGTCTCCAGTGTTCAAACTGCTATTTCATGCTGTGTGTTTAAGACAATAGGAGATATTTTAAAAAGGAGACAAAAATGCAAGTCCAGTTAAAAAGGGAGGAAATAACCATAGTTGTAAAAACACTGGATGGGGATTATAAAATTACAGTGGGCATTTCTAACCAAATATTGAATATAATAAGATAATTAACTCAGTTTAAAGTAGTGGTTCTCAACCTTTTTTTTTTTTTTTTTTACCAGGGACTACTTGACCAGAGACCACTCTCCAACATTAGTACCAAAAGGGTTACAAATCAATTTTTGGCCAACTTTAGTTTGGTTATTTGGGTTGCTGATTCAGAAAACTGCATTGGATAAACCACATCAACTCTAGTTTCTGATACAGAACATATGCCATCCAGTATTCGCCATCTGCTTGCCCACAGAAAACCATAATAAGCCTCAGCACTATTTGAGGGTTTTGCAAGACCAGTCATTCTCGTTGCAACAGTGCAGAAACAATGAGTCCATGGACAATATTTTAGTTCTTACGGACCACTGGTGGTTCATGGACCACAGGTTGGGAACCACTGGTAAAGACACAGACTACCTACTACAACAAAAGTGGTCCTAATGTTTGGGTAAATGGAATACCACACAATGAAGATAGCTGCAGTCCGTGAACATGGGAAGAGCCAAATGTTTCCAATTCCACCAATTTTATAATGTAAACATTTGTAAAAAAATGTTTAAAAATGAAGCATACCATAAATGAACCAGAGTACTATAGAACAGGATTGCATATGATGGCATCATAGCATACAAGCCAGAAACCAAAACAAAGGCTAGTGCAGGCACGGACAAACTTCAGCGCTCCAGGTGTTTAGGACTTCAACTCCCGCAATTCCTAACAGCCTACCAGCTGTTAGGAATTCTGGGAGTTGAGGTTCAATACACCCGGAGGGCTGAAGTTTGTCCATGCCTGGGCTAGTGTATTGATTGCAAGACAGATTTACTGTAACATAAATTTGCGCCCCATTTGATACATCTTTGATCTGCTCCACATGTTCGTGCTACAATCAAAATGCGTGACTTGGAAGTGCTATAAAGGTACTTGGGGTGATTTTGCACTTGCAAAATACTTGGAAGATCACTGCTGCCTATTCATATAAACCAATTCATATTGTTAATGATATAAAGAGTGCAGGAGATGAAAGGTAGAATGATATTGGCAAATCTATCTGCTTTCATGAAGAATGAAATTCTTTTTTTCATGGCTATGCATCTCTGTGGGCATCTCCATCCAGTCTGACACTACTTAGAATCATAGAGTTGTAAGAGACATCATGGGCCATCCAGTGCAACCCCTGCCAAGAAGCAGGAAAATTGCATTCAAAGCACCCCCCATAGATGGCCATCCAGCCTCTGTTTAGAAGCCTCCAAAGGAGCCCCCAACATACTCTGGGGCAGAGAGTTCCACTGCTGAACGGCTCTCAGACTGGACTTTTTCCTAATAGTTAGGGCAGCAGAAAGCAAGCTTGCTCCCCCCTCCCTATGACTTCCTCATATATTTCTACATGGCTATCATGTCTCCTCTCATCCTTCTTTTCTGCAGGCTAAACATGCCTAGCACTTTAAGCCGCTCCTCATAGGGCTTGTTCTCCAGACCCTTGATCATTTTAGTCGCCCTCTTCTGGACACATTCCAGCATGTCAATATTTCTCTTCAATAGTGGTGCCCAGAACTGGAAACAATATTCCTTGAACGGGTAAAGCTCAATGCTAGGGAATTATGGGAGCTCTTTAACAGAGGAGGCTAACGCCCTTGTAAAACTCCCACCGCTCCACCGCATGGGCCTCTGCCAGTTCAAGCAGTGTCACGTTGCACTAATTCTACAAGGCAAGGCGCGCCTTCCGGCTCCTCCCCTCACCTGGGCCTCGCCTTAATGAGCGGCGCTACTTCCGGCGGAAGAACAGCCCCTAATGCAGCATGGCTGAACCCGAGGGAGTCCCGCCTCCCAAGCCGGCAGGCGGCCAACTCCCAAAGCGGCGCGAGGGCTGGGCGTGGCTTCGGCAGTCCCTTCCGGAATGGGATGGCGGAGGCGCGAGCAGCTGACCCCCCCCTCACGCGCGCGCGTGCGTTCCATTAGCGGAGGCCGAGAAAGGCCGTTGCCCCGGCAACCGGTTCTGCGTTGGAATGGGGCCCGCCCTCCTCGCGGTTCCAGAACGAGCCTCTCTTGCATTGGGGGAAAGGGAAGAGCAAAGACAATAACAAACCCTGACCTGCCCTTTCATAAACTCCAGCTACTCTGCAGAATGAATGCAATTTGGCACCGTTTCAGCTACCATGGCTCAATGCTAGGGGAGTCCTAGGGAGTTGTAGTTTTACAAAGTATCCAGCCTTCTCTGCTGGATACTTTGTAAAACTACAACTCCCTAGGACTCCCCTAGCATTGAGCCATGGTAGCTGAAACGGTGCCCAACTGCCTCACCAAATTGCAAAGCCCAGGATTCCTTAACATGAGGCCATGGCAGCTGAGGCGATGCCAAACTGCATTAATCCAGTGCTCATTCGTTTTTACCCCATTAGGGTTCGTAGATGTTATTCAGGAACAAGCCCAATGAGGAGCAGTTTAAAGAGCTGGGCATGTTTAGCCTTCAGAAGTGAAGGCTGAGAGGAGACATGATGGCCATGCATAAATATTGGTAATAGTATGATAGCTGGGTCCGGAAGCTCCA